TGTTACTGTGTATAAACCCAACTCAACAATTAACTCTATACACTAGTTATGATCACAGTAACGATCTAATAAATATATTCGCAGTGGCTACGCGTCCGGTCATCCATTACAAAGCTTAGCACAGATTCCCAAATCACGTCACGATTAGGCCACGCCCCCTTTCAAATCGTTGATTTTACTGGATTTACTATTGCTTCAAAAGTTACAAAAACACATTTTTTTGATAATATGCCTAAAGGTAAGTAATATTATGGTAAATACTTTTTGTTTATTGTTTTTTACTGAAAAAATATAGTTGGGTTCACATTAGAAATATATGACCGGACGCGTAGCCTGGTAGCTGGGCGTCCGGTAACTGGACGCGTAGCCACGGCCTAAATATATTATATGCGCTGGAATGGGAAACAGACGCAGACACGCTAGTGTGGCGGGGCGTCACGAGGGGGCGCTAGCTACTCGTATTCGGTGACGATGATGTTACTGCGGGTGTGGTACCTGACGACGAGGACGACGATGACGATGATGGCGATGAGGCAGAGCGTTGCCAGGCCAACGCTGACGCCGATGGTCACCTTCTTCCAGTCTGAAATGTCACGTTCATCGATGAATTAATCCTCTCATTATTCCTGCCCAAGTACACCAGAACGCACGCACGCACGCACGCACGCACAAACGCACGCACGCATGCGCTCACACACACACACACACCGTGATAGCTAGCAGACTTACAGTCAATCTTCTTGAAGCATCCCATCGTTGGATCTCCCTCCCATCCGTCCGCGCATGCGCACGTTAAGCTGCCTGGCGTGTTGATGCACACTGTGTGCTCAGCAGCGCATGTCACGCTGCCCGACTCACACTCATTCACGTCTGTAAAATACGCACGCGTTACACGTTACACGCACGCACGCACGCACGCACACGTTACATGTTACACGCACGCACACGTTACATGTTACACGCACGCACACGTTACACGCACGCACGCGTTACATGTAACATGATGTTACACGCACGCGCGCACGTACGCACACATTACAGCACGTACGCACATATCGCGAATATTCCTGGATCGTCGATAATAATTCGGAATAATCACGGATAATACCGAACAATTCCGGATGAACTTAGGTAATTCCGGATGATCCCACACTATCCCGGAGAATGACGGACAATCCGGAAAATTTCCCGATAATCCTGAAGATTCCCGGATCACATCTCGGGTGATCCCGGATTAATCCAATCCGAGACTATCCCGAATAATCTCCCCATTCCTGCCGGATTCGACTCGACGATAGCCTGCACGATCCTTCATACGTACGCGGCTTTCATGCTGTGATAGCCTGCACGTTCCTTCATACGTACGCAGTATTCATGCTCTGATGGCGGGCACGTACCTTGACACACTTCGTACGTGTCTAGAACCAGTACGTCGCTGAAGGACGTGTATCCGTCCGTGCACATACAGAGGGCGTAGCCCGGGCTGTCTTCCTCGCAGTCCGTGTTTGCCGGACAGTCCATGGAATCTACACACGGATCCACCGCTTGCACTACAACGTACAGATGCAGAATGTAGTGCATGCAGGAAACTAACAACTGACGTTCTCTCCGCCCGCCTGTTCAAGTATTAAACCGCATGTCTGTGAATCCGTCTGCTTGTAATTCCATCTGCCGATATATCTTCGCCCGTTCGATTTAACGAATGATTGGTTTTTGGGGGCAGAAATTGATCATTTACACCATAGCTGGCGGGACGACGCCATAATAATTGGACTAAAAGTGCAGTCATCTACGGCTTATATATATATATATATACACGCACCATCAGCCACCATACACACACACAAACACACATACCACCACGCACACACACGCACGCAACATACGCACAGCACACGCACGCACGTACACATACACACACACAGCACACACACGCACACACAATAATATTCGCGTTAAGCACCTCGTTAACCCAGCATTAACATTTTCTCTACCCCAGTCATTAAGACGCTCGCTAAACCAGTAATTACACGCTCGCCTAACCCAGTCATTAACACGCCGCTAACCCAGTATTGGACACGCTCGCACTAACCCAGTCATTAAGACGCTGGGACCTAATAACCAGTAATTAACACGCTCGCCTAACCCATCATTACACCGCTCGCTAACCAGTCATTACACGCTTCAACCCAGTCATTAACAAGCTCGCTTAAACCCAGTCATTGAACGTCTCGCTAAACCCAGTCATGGACCACCCTCGCTAACCCAGTCATTAACACGCTCTCTAACCCATGTCATTAACACGCTCGCTAACCCAGTCATTGGACAGCTCGCGTAACCCAAGTCATTGACACGCCTCGTAAACCCAGACTCCTTTGACACGCCTCGCTAACCAGTCATTAACACGCTCGCTAACCACGTCATTGACACGCTCTGCTAACCCAGTCATAACACGCTCGCTAACCCAGTCATTAACACGCTCGCAACCAGTCATTATAACACGCTCGTCTAACCACAGTTCATGTAGCCACGCTCCCTAAACCCAGTCATAACACTTCTCGCTAAACCAGTTTCATTGACACGCTCCACTAACCCGTCATTAAGCGTGTATTGCGATGTTTTTTTGGCTCAAAAAACTAATATAAAGCGAATATAAGTCTCATCTGAAAGTGGAAATATCACTGATTATACCAACATCAAATACACCATAGCATTTTACTGCAGTTATAGCATTAGAAATTGATTTTGTCCACATCATTCCAGCCCGAATATTATCGTATAGCCGACTAATCCAAGAATACCAAATTGCCGCCTTCAAACGAAGTGCATAATTCAAAAACAAAAGGGCCGTGCAATTCTGTGTCGGGTAAATATTATTGACTTTTTTATGTCAATAATATCAGTCAGCACTTTCTGTCATTGTCTATTACCGTGTTATTATCTGACTGGTAATCCACAAGCTTTATCTAATAAACAGACTTTACGCACGTATTAGTACTTACACTGCTCTTTACGCTAGTATGAACCCTCCGCTTGTGTTACACTCTGACCTTGCATTTCTACGATGTGTAGGTAATGCATTACTGCACCGTGCTATAGAGTCTCGCCGCTACCGCGAGAAGAGGTCGAGGCAGATGTGCCAACGCGCTAACAAAAACAGAACCAGAATTGTTAATTGGCATGATTGTGTGAATACGAACGTTCCTAACGGCATTCTTACGGTACTCTAGGACAATGCCTGTACTACAAGCAATAACGGTTAGTGCCAGAAAATGGCGGCAAAACACTTAGAAAACTTTCGCAATAATTACTTTAAACACGCTCGCCTAACCCAGTCATTAACACGTCTCTTTATGAACGTCTGTGCAGATATTTGACGAGTGCAGGGCGGAGCGCCCCCCTGCGTGACTATTCTACGTGTGCCTAATCTGCCTCGGAACTCACACATGCCACGTGCTGGATCGCGTTACATGATGAACGACGAATGCGGGATGCGGGTGAGTATGTACATAGGCTGCCCGCGCGTGCTGTGGTGTGGATGTGTCGTGTTGTGTGTGTGGGTGACTGTGTGTGTGGCGTGTGTGTGTGTGTGATGGGTGTGCGCGGCCGTGTGTGTGTGGATATGTGGTATGTGTTATGGATTGGCCGTGGAGTTGTGTCTGTATGTGCGTGTGCGTGCCGTGCGTGCGTGCGCGCTGAGTGTGTGTGTCTGTTTGTTTGTTTGTTTGTGTGGTGTGCGCGCCGTGTGTACGTATGTGTGTGGATGTGTGTAGGGGGGCTGCGTCGTCGTGCGGCCGGCGGGTCGTGCTACCTGTGTTGACGGTCTGTTGCTTGTTGTTGTTGCGGCGCCCTGCGTGTCGTATTGTCAGTTGTTTGTTTGCTGTTTGTGCTCGCGTTGTATGCATGTGTTGATGTGTGTGTGGGTGTGTGATGTGTGTGTGTGTGTGGCAGCTGTGTGTGTGTGTGTGTGTGTGTTCGTGTGTAAGTTGTGTTGTGTCGTGTATTTGTGTTGATGTGCTGTGGTGTGTGGCCTGTTTGTGTGTGATCTGGTTTGTGTGTGTGCTGTGTGTGTGTGTGTGTGTGTTGCATTGTGTCGGCTGTGTGGTTCGTGTCGTGTGTGTGTGTGCTGTGTGCGTTGTGTGTGTGGGTGCGATGGGTGTTGACTGTGTGTATGCGTGTGTAATCGTGTGTGTCTTTGCGTGCGGCAGCTGGAGACTACTGCGCGCGACGTCTTCCACACCTCGCTGCTGATAATTACAGCTTAACTGCTGTAACGCTACCTACACCGGGCGGCACCAGTTGTCGCTTGCCGACCCGGCTGTCTACGACACCCAATCACTGGACAGTGCGTGAAAGGTGAGCGCGCGAACGTCACATGGAGATGCTCACATCTCAAGAATAATCACATTGTTTATCATTCGATGTCATAAAATTATTATACTACTCAATTAATTATTGTATAGTTAATCTTCATGTGTACACTCGAGAGTCACGTCGCTCCAGATTCGAGGAATGTCGTCCCGTCGTTGACCTCTGGACCCGCTGTTACTCTCAACAGCCTGTTTAACATTTGACCCCCGTTTCACCTCTGGACCCATGTGTTTAACATTTGACCGCCGTTCAACTCCTGACCCTGATGTTTGACGTATTGACACCCCCATTCATGATCTTTCACCCGCTTGTGTTGAGGCGTCGGTGCTGCCAGCTGCGTGTGTGTTTTGCCGGTGTAGCAGCGTAAACGTGCGGCGCTGCGTGGCGCACAGTGAGGACTAACGGACAGTTCAGCGACGATCTGAACAGGAGGCGACGGAGGCGTACGCGAACGACACCGCTACGGAGTTCATCGCGTAGCCGCGAAACATGCTGCGGCACTGCGACCTGCTGCGCCGCGTCGCTCAGTGATGTGGCGCGTCGCGAGTGTGTGGCGCCGGCAGGTGTCGCGCGTAGTGGAGTTCGCTTGTGCGCGTGCAAGTGTGTGGATTGTGCGCGTGCCGAGTTGTGTGTGGCGTACGTGCACGGTGTGTCACAAGCGTACGTGTACGTGCGCTGCGGCGTGCGTGCTTGTTTGTGATGCACTGGAGCGGCGCCCCGCATGTGCGTGCGTGCAGGTGTTGCGTTCGTTCCGTGATGACGGTTCGTCGGCGCTCGTGTGCCGTGTGCGTGCTGCGGTTGACTGTAGCGCCACAGCGCGTGTGTGCCGCTGCCTGTTTGTGTGAGTGCGGCGCCGTGTGGCAGGTGCGTGCGTGCACGGGTGTGTACTGCGTCCGTGCGTAGTGCTATGCGGCCGCGTGCGCACACGAGCGTGCTGTGCGTGGCCTGGTTTGTCGTGTGTTAGCGTCATCACGTCGTTTATAATATCATATATATATATATAAGTCCTGCCGATCGCTTGCTCTATTACTGATCAGTATGAGTGTCGATACATTAGGTGCAGAGCTTAATATATTGTAATCTGCTAGATAAATTTAAAGACCAAGACATCACTCTTTCTTAAGCCTGTCAAAAGTTAATTATTCACAGACTACAATAATATATATCTATATATATTATATATATATATTATATCGATAATGGCAGTATCCCATATAGTTCTTCAAGATAATAATTGTTTTCCACCTACAGATGGGAGCACATCTTACGAAAGCCGTATCCCCAATATAAAAGCCTACAGAAATAGAGAGTTTCAGTAAGGTTTACCTATAAACTTGCTTTACCTACTTACTTGCTACGCGTCGGCCTCTTCTCTGTACGAGCCCTGGGCCGCGCAGTTCGCTCCCCGAACTTTTTCGGTGTCAGATGATTTCGCTCCGAAAGGTCTGCGCCCGCAGCATCGCAAGTAGAATCGCCGCCCTCGTAAACGATTCCTCTTCGGTAGTGTTCGCGTGCGTCGGTTAGTATTGCCGGTTTAGTCAGTACCCCTTCACATGAAAGATTTTCTCTCCGCGCGTCCTTGTGTTAAGACTTATGAGAGGTGTTGAGGATGCGTACTTTACAGGCGTACCCTTCCCGGCGGTCAATACGAGTGTAGACGGGCCGGAGAAATGAAGGCCAGTCAAAAGTGCTAAGAGTGAATGACGTTTATTACAACACAACGAAGAATGAGGTAAGATACATACTGAACGCACCGGTAGTCAAACGCAGCAGCCTTTTCAAAGAGCTTTCTTGAGTTCGCTACTCACTACGTTCTCGGCGCTGGTGTTAATTCCAGGAATGATACTCTCCCGCCCACACAATAGTTTACTCGCTCAACGTTACGACTAACTCGCTAAATCCGAAATACACATCAGTTAGGTTCCTGAATAACTCCCTAACAAAACCCTCTACTCCCCAAAGAACTCTAAGAACAAGCCTCTAGAAGTCTCTATCTATATACTATCTAAACTGCTCTCTCCTCTACTGCTCTTCTTTTACTAACTCCCTTCCTACTCCTGCCCTTCTCTACTCCTCGTTCTTACTACTCTTCTTCTGCGCGCGCGGTGCCCTCTTATACCCTCGCGGCACCTTGCCATGAGTCAGCTCTCAGTACCTATTACAGCCGCGCGCTACCTAACAAGTCCGCCTCTGCTGCACGCACGCACCTACACAACCGGATCAACCGATCGATCAGCTCACTGCCTGAGCCCCGTGATTGGCGTGTTCCTGTTTACCAGCGTGTTGCGGTGGTTTCGCGCGTTTCGGGTGTTCGGTACTTTTTTCCCCGAACGCTATCCCCGAATCGCTATTTCCCCGCCTCTCGCATTCACCAGCGCGTCACAGCTACCATAGTAGCTGTCAGTGCTGATCCACACGTACACAGGCACGCACGCACGCACGGACACGACGTACACGGACAAACGCAAGCACACACACGCACGCTCACGCGCGCACTCTCTCTCTCCTCTTTCACACACACACACACACACACACACGCCACACGCCACACGCACACGCACACGCACACGCACACGCCACACGCCACACGCACACGCCACACGCACACACACACACAGCCACACACACACCACACATACACACACACCGGGACTCTACAGCGAACGACTGGACAGTCTGAAAACTTCAGAAATCTCCACCAGATAACTATTATTTTAATCTAAAAACGCTGATTCGCATCATCAAATATTCCCCCAATTAATTAATAAATCACTTAATAACGAAGAAAAAATAATAGTTAACAATACGGAGAAAAACGAACTCGTGAATAGAATTTCACGTACATCTCACCTCTCTGCTCATTCCCTCGTGTCGCAGCAGCGGAAGTGTCGTCGGTAGACTTCTCGCTCCTCTTTGTCGATGACGGAAAAGTCTGCCGCATAAATGTCACTTGCCATGCCGCTGTAACGGACATCTGCAAAGCGTCTGATCATGTGCAATAGCAGACGATGCTAGTCTGCTGCAAGCTGCGGAGCAAGCGGATCTGTGGTTGCATAAACTGCCCCCTCAAAGGTACAGTATATAATACATCATCTATATAATTCTCTTCTCTATATATACTGTATCATATTATATATATATAGTTATGTATATCAGAAGTAGACTAATAGCGAAGGAGTCTAGATTTCACATAAACAAGGGAAATCGCTCATTACTAGCCTTAGAATACCTACGATTTACTACCGCGTAACTCAACCAACTTGACCTCATATCCGTACAAACATATATTCGCTCTTAGCATCGTGCGAAAATCGTGTCCACGTATACACCCGCCAATCGGGATACAGACTAAAACGATACGACACCGATTTTCCATTTTGTTTGCAGCAAAACATGAAGTATAAACCGCTTAACTTGAAACAAAAGGCAGCTGACTAAACGACTCTTGCGATGCCTGTTGGGCTCGCTTGGGAGATTGGATATCGACGCAACAATCGGCGAGTCTATCTTGACCTATTTACAGCCCTGCCTTTGTTCTCAAATTAGCGGTTTACATTCATTGCTTGGCAATATAATGCGAATAATCGTGTACGTACGTTTTAGTTGTAATCTCCGCGATTGCGGGGTATATACGAAAAAACGAATGCTAGGCGAATCTACTCTTGTACGATTTGAGCCAATGTTAATTGAGTTACGCGCTAGTAATCGTAAGGATTCTAAGGCGAGTAAATGACGAATTCCCTTGTTTATTGAAGTCACATCCTTCCCTATTATCTACTTCTGATATATATATATCATATATAATATAAATAGTATACTATATATATGCTGTAACTATATATATATTATTAATTTCAATATTCATTTTTATTTAATTTTCATTTATTCAATATAATTGTAATATTATATATATATATATATNGTGTTAATGACTGGGTTAGAGAGCGTGTTAATGACTGGGTTAGCGAGCGTGTTAATGACTGGGTTAGCGAGCGTGTTAATTACTGGGTTAGCGAGCGTCTTAATGACTGGGTTAGAGAAAATGTTAATGCTGGGTTAACGAGGGTGTTAACGAGGATATTATTGTGTGTGTGTGTGTGTGTGTGTGTGTGTGTGTATGTGTACGTGCGTGCGTGTGTGGGCGTGTGTGTGCGTATGTGTGCGTGCGTGTGTGTGCGTGTGTATGTGTGTTTGTGTGTGTGTATGTGTGTGCGTGCGTGTGTGTGCGTGTAGGTATGTGTATGTGTGTGTGTGTGTGCGCGCGCGTGTGTGTGTGTGTGTTTGTGTGTGTGTNCACACACACACACACACACACACACACACACACACACACATACACACACACACGACTCTACATGGAACGACTGGACGTCTGAAACTTCAGAAATCTCACCAGATTAACTATTATTTTAATTAAAACGTTGAATCGCATCATCAAATATTCCCCATATATTGAATAAATCACTAATAACGAAAGAAAAATAATAGTAAAATAACGAGAAACGAACCGTGAATAGAATTTCACGTACATCTCACCTCTCTGCTCATCCCTCTTGTCTGCAGCAGCGGAAGTGTCGTCGTAGACTTCTCGCTCCTCTTTGTCGATGACGGAAGTCTGCCGATAAATGTCACTGCCAGCGCTGTAACGGACATCCTGCAAGCGTCGATCATGTGCATAGCAGACGATGCTAGTCTGTGCAAGCTGGGAGCAAGCGATCTGTTGGTTGATAAGACTGCCCTCAAAGGTACAGCAATAATACACATATATATATATCTCTCTATATATATGTATATATATATATATATATATATATATATATATATA